AATGTTCTCTTAATATATACATTTCCCTTCCATCTTTGATGGTACGGGCAAGGTAAAAAAATAAAATAATACACTTAATACCTGAATATCATCATCTTCTAGGTTATCATCAATGGTAAATATTCCCATATTATCATTATGTTCTTCTAATTCTAACCCTTCAAAATCATCCCTATGGTGTAGAGTAGCCCTTAGCATACCAGGTTTGTATCCTGATGACCACAGTAAATCATCTATGTCTTCTTCCCTAGGAGGTGGCACATGAACTTTTTTCCTGCAAAAAAAGTACTTGATAGTCACCCTTCAAAAATCAACATTAAATTGGATACCATAGGATAACTGTTTCAAAAACAATGTTGCTCACATGAAAAAACAATGGAAAGCTGCTCACATGAAAATAAGGTTGTCCACATGAAAACAAGTTGACCCACATGAAAATAAGGATGACCACATGAAAACAAGGTTGACCACATGAAAACAACGTTACCCACATGAAAATAAAGTTGTCTACATGAAAATAAAGATGACCACATGAAAACAAGGTTGTCCACATAAAAATAAGATTTGTTAATGTTTTACATCCTCTTTGCATCCGTAAGTGCAGTGAGACCGGGCCTTTAAGTTAGAAGGCTTTGTTTGATCATGAAGGTCAGTTACACTGTAGATGTTTGTTTAGGTATATTTTTTTTTAGCTAAATTAACAAATTTTTAGCTTATTCTTAGAGTGTTGCTTTACATATGTATAAATACCACTTTAAGCCATACCAATAATGAGAACTATGTTTATTTAAAAAATAGAATGAATATATAGAATTGAGTTTATTGTAGCTATTACTTACTTTTTACAACACACCACAATAAGTGATACACAGAGTGCAATCAAGAGAAGTCCAGCAACAGCTCCAACAATTATTGATATCAATTTTAACTCTGAAAACAGAGAGATGGTATCTGTTAATAACAAACTTCACAATGGTATATATACTTTATAGCACTGATGCCCAGACGTATCGGTTAATAACAAACTTCACAATGGTATATATACTTTACAGCACTGATGCCCAGACTTGAAAACATAGAGATGGTATCTGTTAATAACAAACTATACCATGGTATATATATTTTACATCACTGATGGCCAGACGTATCTGTTAATAACAGACTTCACAATGGTATATATACATTACAACACTGATGCCCAGACTTGAAAACAGAGAGATGGTATCTGTTAATAACAAACTATACCATGGTATATGTATTTTACATCACTGATGGCCAGACGTATCTGTTAATAACAAACTTCACAATGGTATATATACATTACAACACTGATGCCCAGACTTGAAAACAGAGAGATGGTATCTGTTAATAACAAATACCATGGTATATGTATTTTACATCACTGATGGCCAGACGTATCTGTTAATAACAAACTTCACAATGGTATATATACATTACAACACTGATGCCCAGACTTGAAAACAGAGAGATGGTATCTGTTAATAACAAATACCATGGTATATGTATTTTACATCACTGATGGCCAGACGTATCTGTTAATAACAAACTTCACAATGGTACATATACATTACAACACTGATGCCCAGACTTGAAAACAGAGAGATGGTATCTGTTAATAACAAATACCATGGTATATGTATTTTACAGCTCTGATGGCCAGACGTATCCGTTACTAACAAACTTCACAATGGTTTATATACTTTACAGCACGATAGTATCTGTCAATAACAAACTATACCATGGTATATATATTTTACAGCACTGATGGCCAGACCTATCGGTTAATAACAGACTTCACAATGGTTTATATACTTTACAGCACTGATGCCCAGACTTGAAAACAGAGTGTTAATAACAAACTATACCATGGTACATGTATATGTATTTTACAGCACTGATGGCCAGACGTATCTGTTAATAACAAACTTCACAATGGTATATATACATTACAACACTGATGCCCAGACTTGAAAACAGAGAGATGGAATCTGTTAATAACAAACTACACCATGATATACATCTTTTACACCACCACTGTTCAGACTTATTATTACTATTACTGTAAAATCTGTATTAGAAACCGTGGCTTCTATTAAAATGGTACAATGCAATAGAGGGGATGCGGCTTCTATTAGAGCATCTACACATATGAGAAATGATTATTTTTTGGTTCACAATTTTTCAAAAA